ATGTTATGTTTTCCCAATTTCTCTTTAACAATGTCTAGAAGTTTCCCATCAAAGTGGGGTTGGGATGGAGAGGCGGAAGTTGATGGAAATCTCCGAGGCCCTGGCTTCCTCTGAAGTGGCCGCACTCTGCTTCTTGTGCCGTGATGTTCTTAACTGCAGACATCTCGAAGGAGTGAGGATCACATCCAGTATTAGACTGTTTTACACTTATTTGGATCGCAAATATCGTGCAGATTAAACAATGTAGAATGTTTCACACTTGAGCGAAGCACAGTATTTTCATTGGTAAACACTTTTCTAACTTTTGCTGAAAATTGTGTACTTTGTCTTTCCAATACAGGTCAATGACGCAAAGGTTCTGTTCAGTAGATTGGAAGAAAGAGATTGCCTGAATCCTGAATTTCTTCATCAGTTACTGCGCACAATCCGACGGAATGATCTCCTCAGCCTCTTAAAGGGGAACAGACAGAATGTGGAGGAAACTGATGCCAATCCTATCGGCAAGCTGTCAAATTACAGGTAAAAGCAGCAAGAATATTTCGTTTTGTTTTTGTTTACCTTGTGCTCGGCACTCATCCTATTTTCCAATCCTCCACCATGCTTTGTGAATAGGGTGATGCTGTATCAGATATATGATGAAACGACGAAAGAAGATCTCCAAAAGATGAAGTTTCTCTTAAACGACAAGATTGGCAGGAGACAAATGGATGAATGCAGTGTAAGAAAACCCACTCAAGATTTGTGCACCCATATTCACATTCAAATTTTATATTGTGCACTGACAACATAGTGTAACTTTGTTTGTATTACATGCTTGACCACACGTGGGTGTGCTCACTCTTCTATTCACTCCAAACGGTTCATACTTACTGATTTATTTATTTTTTCCGCAAATTTCCAGACGGCGCTGGACGTCTTTGTTGAATTAGAAAAAGTGGGTTTGCTGTCTCAATCAGATCTACAAGCGCTGCATTCAATACTGATGGAAGTGAATCGACAGCTGGCATCGACTGT